ACCACTCTTGCAGCCGACGCAACGTGCATCAGGTGCGTCTAGTGCCATGGAGGGGCTAAGAGTTCACAGACATAAGCAAACCCTGTTCTGAAACTTCGGGACTCGTGCATGCCGGCAAACATGTAACTGACACGCGCCCCTCAGCACATAGCAGGCAGGATTCCATTTCGACGAGATGATTTTAGCTGAGGCTGAGGGTGCTTGCAAGATACTCAGTGGCAGGCGCTTGAGAAAGCAATGTATCGTCTCGCTGTTCTGTGCGTCTCTTCAGGTAGACATGTGGAGGGCGGAGTTCCGTAGTATTTAGCTTCGATGGCTACAAGGTCTCCCTCATAAACAGCCTGTCATCTTACCTGCAGTTCATTGTCATTCCGATCCATTGCTGCCTGTGATAATCCACCTAGATATTGAAGGGCCTTGGGTCAAATGCTGATCTAGCCAAAGGCCAAAGACGTTTCTCTTTCGGAGAGTATAATTTGACCTCATATGGCACAGGTTTCTCTGCGGGGGAATACTTCATTAGACGATTGACCTCGATACACCTCTGCTTCGGGCAATGGAGACGATGCCCTTCCCCTCCTATTTAGTCGCTTTTCAAGGCATGGACTTACGAGAGGAGCCTGCAGTTCCTATGATAACGTGAAGGGGACAGCCCCTGATAATGCGTCTTCTTTCTCAATAAGAATTTGACACAGTGCACTGGCCATTTTCTATCTGCACGTTTGAAAGAGTTATCCCGTTTTTCTCAGACCAAGAGTGATCCCATTTTCTTTGGATCAAGAGTGATTTCATTTTCTTTAAACCAAATAAATCCCTTTTTTTACCAAGAGTAATCTCATTTTCTGTATACTTTGATAAACATGATTCCTGTTATTAAAACAATACCTAAAAAAAAAAAAAAAAAAAAAAAAAAAAAAAAAAAAAAACGCAGTGATTTTCTCTTCATAAACGTTCCAACAATCACAGTGATACCCAAATCAAAGATTTTCGTCCAAAACAGAAATATGCAAGTTAATGCACCGTGCATGGGATTTAAATATCACAAACAAAAATTCATTGAAATTTTGTTTTCAATCAAAATAGAGACAAATTACTCTATTTAAGCAGACAATACTGAAGGCCTACTATTCAAAAAGAGGTTTGGCAACATACTTTCTAATTAATTTATTTCATCTGATTGGTTTCAGGAGTTCCTTGAACTGGTAAAAGAAATTTAAGGTTGAGAATAACGGCTTCCATAATCTGCCAGCTCGTCAAGGAAGGGAGATGCCAATTTTGGGAGAAGCTGCCTCTACCGCATGAACGGGCCTCTTGCTGGGAGTCTGCTGTTGTAATTTTGTCACTTATCTGTTTGTTCCCTGTTACCCTCTCCGCTACTGTCTGTCTGTCTGTCCCGCCTCTGTTCTACTGCCACATTCGTAAGACATGTGTTATGCAGTCATTTTCACTCGCGTGTTTAATTCTCGAATCATTTACTTAAAAAAAGGCAAACTGAAAAAGCAAAAGAAACTGAGGTACGATACTTTATTGAGAACAAAATAAATATGCACAAAAAATACAAACTGTATGTACAGTGTATGCAAACATTTTGCTTTTACAGAAAACTGGATTAACTCCAAAAATTATACTGTACACATAAGAGAATAGATTCTTAAATAATTAGAAGAACATATTTGGCAACCATATTGGCAAGTATAGTTTGATTATCGAATAAACCATATCATCTTACCTTCTCAACACTTTCAACCACAAATCACAACACAACTCACCACTCAAAAAGATCAATAACAATAAATAGCTAAACTGCAGCATCGAAGTCTCCCAAACTGTGGCGAAGTCGAGAGCATGACCGGCACAGTTTCCGGGACATCGATGCTCACGTTTCGAGGTATGTCAACGGAGTTTTAAAAAGGCTAATCCATCTCCTACAACATTTTTTTTTTCATTTCTCGAATCCACGGGGAAAATATCAACAATTTATATAATATGTTATAACTGACGCATCTTTTGGGAATATATCGGTACATTTGAACAGAAATACTGGAATGAGACGACGAGTAGAAACGCGACTCGCTTCTGGCAGATTTCCACTTCAGATCAATAAATAGGGAAATCATTATATACAGATATATAATAACAAACGGTTATAGGCACGCATATACATGCTCTCTCTCTCTCTCTCACACACACACACACATACGTATATACGTATATACATATATATATATATATATATATATATATATATATATATATATATATATATATATATATAATATATATATATATATATATATATGGATACAGATTTGTCAAGTGATCTCGCGCACACCTCAACAGAAACATGCAGGATGTCGACCTGCAACTGAAGCGTAGAGGCGAGAGTTGCAGGCCCGCTGCGACCCCCGGTGAAAGGCTCTCCGTCCAGCGGCCCCCCACCTTCCCTCTTTGATTTGCAGTTCAATGCTAAAAAAACAACAATATCAAGTGTAAACTGGTGTCCGCGAACACACTATCGCCAAGTACATGTGCCTGAGTCCATAAAAGGGAGTGAGCAATGACGCCGCGCCAGCGCCGACCCGGTCCTTCTGTCCGACGTCAGAGCGGCTGGCGGGGCTTTTTTTTTTTTTTTTTTTTTTTTTTGATGCACTCAGCATTTGTTTCACTTCACTGGCTGGTTTGCCTAATCTTGTGTGTCATGTCCGCTTGCCGTCACTGCAGTCTGTACAAGCGCATGATAAGCGGAGGCGCCGCCGCCGACCGCCGCCGTCTCCCTGGGCTCTCCTGCTGCTTGCCTCCCTCCGCCTTGCCTCCTTCCTTCGCTGGCGTCTCCTTCGCTCCGTCCGCCGCGGGTCCTTCGCCCCCTGCCTTCTCTCCGCCGGCTGCGCTCGCGGCCTTCTTCTTCTTGTCCCTCGTCTCCTTTCCGCCTTTGTCCTCGAAGTCGAGCGTGCGAGGGCGCCGCGGCGTGCCGTCGGCGAGGGCGAGGACGTCCTGCCGCCCGTCAGTCGGGCTGTCTCTGCCCTCCCTCGGGCCCGCCGCCTCGCCCGCCCTTCGCCTGAACGCCAAGTTCTCCGTGATGTCGGCGCCCGGCACTGCCGCGTTCTGGCCGGCGTTAAAGGCGGCGTCGAGCCCCATGAGCGCCACGCTGCCGAGGTCGCGCACGGCGGTCAGCGGTAGCTGCGCCGCGTTGATCTTGCGGTAGCTGAGCGCCATCGGCAGGTTCGCGTCATAGTGGTTAGGCGACGACGCGCAGTTAACGTTGTACCAGTAGTTGCACTGCATGATGGACTGGTCGAAGAGCGTCATGTTGGGGCACATAAAGCTGGTCAGCGTGTTGCCCATGGCGGCGGGCAGGCACAGATGGAACACCTGCGGAGGGAAGAGGCTTTAGTGCTTTCGGAAGCTTAGCGACTTAGCGTCAGGATGCTGGTTCCCATCCTTCGACATCACTCGCTTGGTTATGACAGTCAGCAAGAACGGTTGTCTGCCTTTTGACTTGCAACAAGGGATTCCCTGAATGCCCCCCCCCCCACCAGGGACCTTAATCCAAAGACCAGGGACCTCCGGCGACTCACTGACCTTGCAGCCGAGCTGGACGTCGGCGTAGATGCCCGGGAGGTAGCTCTGCTCCTCGCAGAAGAACTTGGTCCGCGGAACCTCGACCTGCTTGGCCACGCTCGGGAACACGACCGCCGCCTCGTAGCCGGGGGGGTGGAACTCCGGCGGCGCTTCGCGGACCACGAACGTCTTGGCGGCGAACGACGGAACGTGGTCCGTGTCCGCAGGGGTGTCCGCATTCACCTGCGGAGCGAGGCGTTAGTCGGGATCTCTCTTCGTCCTGGCTCGCTCTCTCTCTCTTTCTATCTCTATCTCTCACTATTTCATTCAAGTCTCCCTCTCTCTCACACACACATTCTCTCTCTCTCTCTCTCTCTCCCGCTCTCCCTCTTGAGCCCTCGCCCTCTCTCCCTCTGTCTCCTTTTCTCCCTCTCCCTCCTCCTTTTCCTCCTTCCCTCTCCCTCTCCCTCTCTCCCTCCCTTGCCCCTGGTCCTCCGGAGTCTCACCTTGAGGAGTTCGCCCATGGTGGGTCCGACGGTGGGCGCCGCGGAGGGCGAGGGCGTGGGCGGCGCCGGCGCAGGCACGTGCGTGACGATGACCTGCGTGGGCGGCTGCGCGAATGAAGGCGGCGTCGGGACCGGCCGGAAGAAGACGGGTCTCCCGTCGGGCGTGCGCAGGGGGCGTCGGCCCGGCCGGTTACCGCCAGGGGACTGCGGGCGGAGCGGGCGGCGCCCCTGGGGAGGCCGCGCGGCGAAGTGCTGGGGGGCGCTCTGTGGGCGCGGACGGGGTGGGTTCTGGTCACTCTGGCGGCGGAGGGGGAGAGGTGGAGGGACCAGGCCGAAGGCGGGGGCATCCGGCAGCGTGTCCCTGCGGAAGGAGGGGCGCTAGAGGACTGGCGGAGGGGCTGGGAGCCGCCCTATGGCCTCCGAATGGAAGTGGATGACAAGGGTAATGACAGCAATAGTAGTAATTATATAAATGACCTTCATAAGTAGTCTCGATCCATACATATAATCCCATATCATAATAATGTCTCTTGCTCACTACATCAACAGTATTATCATATTCCCTATATATATCACAACACACAATCCCCCTTTCAATACTTATTCTTGAAAAAAGTCTCCTCTCAATAAACCTAAACGGCGTATAGCATTCGTCTCCTACCATCGCCTCGCTTTGTTTTCCTTCTGCGCAAATCTTATACTTACGCTCTCTCTCCCGCCTCTGCCTCCTCCGCGCCGTCCTCGAGGGTGTCCTGTGGAGAGGAAAGCCGAAGTTCACGTCAATGTCTTTCCGGTTGTTACTGGAGGCAATAACCACACTTACTCATGCTTTTATAGCTCTATATATTCATTTGGATGCATATGTTGGTGTGTGTGTGTGTGTGTGTGTGTGTGTGTGTGTGTGTGTGTGTGTGTGTGTGTGTTTGTGTGTGTGTG